GACCTACGAGTTACTTCTAAACTCATTTATGCTCAAGAATAGGATTTAGTAAGAAGTTATTATTTATTGGGGATCCTAGATCTTAGAGTTAGAATCCTGGAATAGTAGCCAGCTCTCCCACCTGTCAGGCTCGTCAGCTCAGAACTTGCATTTGGGGATGGGGTTAAGGATAACAACTGGGCATTTATCTGGGCTGCAGAGCAACCCTTCCTTCCCAGGAGTAGCAACCTCTCTGGAATCTTAGAGGAGCTGCGGCCTCAACTGAACGACGCATGCTAGGCAAAGGATTTCTCATTCACCTTTTATTTTTGTTAGTTACAATAAAGGAATCTTTGGTTCCAGGTTAGAAACATGAACTTCATTCTTTGAATGAAACCTGGCACCCAAACAATTGCACAGATGGTGAACGTCTACTCACCTTAACTCAATCCCATATCAGGGGGAAATGCTGGATCCTCATGGCCCCATGGTAGGGGTCTTCTGGATCTCTAGGAGGAGCTGTTCTATAGGGCAGGTGCTCCTGTCCCAGAGGATGCCTCTGCTTTTTGAAAGAAGCTGCTTTTTCACTTTCTTTCTTTCCTTCTTCTTCAAAACCTCTTCAAGTTTTGATTTTAATTGTGCAAACGGACCTGCGGAGGTTACCTATTCATCGTGCAACTTCTTAAGATATTTACAAAACTTATTCACACACAGTTTTGTTTCCAACTACAGTGTCTTGTTTTGAGTTTTATAAAGCTCAAGAAATTGAATTATTGCCTCAGTTACTGTGATGAGAAATCATGGATTGTAAGAGCAATTTAGAAAGTTCTTGAAATCTTGGAGAGGTTTCATTCATTCAGGCATTTTTTTTAACATGTTGCATTTCTGAATGCCATTTTAATAAAGTGCATGAATTGTACATTAACATAATGTTAGAACAATTCTGGTTCAGTCCAAGCTGGGACTGGGTAAGAAAGATTCTGGTCATGTTGCTTGAAGAGGAAGAGGTTTATTTGAGAGCGTAGAAACCGCACAGGAGGTAGCTACAATTGGAGATACAGCGGATGGTAATATTTATAGGAAAGCTGGTCGTTTGGGAGGTGTGTGTGAATTGCCCTTTATAATGTTTAATTTGATGGACGTGCAGCTCTGGGGGTGAAAAACTGGGTTTTTATTGCGTTTACAGATCTTTTCTTTGATGTGTGGCTATGTGCTGATTTTGAGCACTGCCTCTGTGTAAGAAAGAAACTCTGGAAAATCTGAAAGGATTTTCCCTCTGCTGTTATTTGCATCAGTTTATTAGTTTAGCCTGATGATTAATTATCAGTAGAGGCAGTAGTTTAGCAATCTTCACAACACTGTAATGACTTTACATGTAACATAGTTTTCTAGTTTTGGTTATTTGCAGGTCATGTTATTGATCAAAAGGAGGATCAGAGGCCGTAGCAATAAATAAGTGTAGCAATAAATCTAATCTGAATCGTAATTCCTTCCACAATTATTAAAATTCTTCCCGCAATAGAAATCTTTGCCATAATTATACCTATCTCCCTATAACCTATTGGCATTTAGAGCATGATCTGAAGTCTGTGACAGCAGATGTGCCACAACACGGACATCAGAACCCCAACATCTGGAGTCCATTTTAACGGCAGCATGGAAGCTCAGAGCTTCGCTCCATGGTTGCATTAAGGCCAACTGTTAGATTTGGTCAATCTCTTCTTACATAAATTTTATTCCCAAAAATCAAATTATTACTTTGGTCTGCCTGTAGTTATGGGCTTTGAATAGCTACAGTAAACAGAAGGAGCATACAAATTGCATGTCCGTTCCATTTACTCAAATGTTGTTGCAGTAGGAAGAATGCCAAAATAATATTGCTTCAAGGGCAACAAGGTCCACGTGTCCAGTCCAGTAGTTTCCCTTCCTTTTGGGCTTGGAGGGGTCCTTTGGCATCATCCTCATACTCGTTGACTCACAGGCTGTGCCTGATGGGTCGTTCCATCGTTCGGTGCTGCCTTTGAAGAATGGGAAGAAAGTTCTACTGTGTCGTGTGAAAATGCCGCTCTGCGTATCCAGCCTGCCCCCATCCTCCTCGTGTAATTTGGGGAAGGGTCCCCTCAATAAAGGGTGAAGAGAGAATGGGGATAGAAGAGTGAAAAATAGAAAGAAAAACACAAATAAAGAAAAGGAAGTTTCTTCTTCTAAGGATATAAAGAAGGCTTTTGACTCTTAGTTTAGGACTATAATGACACGTCCATTTGCCCTCATCCCAAAAGAAACGAAGAAATTTTTTAAAATCTTTAAATTTCTTCCCACAATAGAAATCTTTGCCATAATTATACCTATCTCCCTATAACCTATCGGCATTTAGACCATGATCTGAAGTCTGTGACAGCAGATGTGCCACAACACGGACATCAGAACCCCAACATCTGGAGTCCATTTTAACGGCAGCATGGAAGCTCAGAGCTTTGCTCCATGGTTGCATTAAGGCCAAATATTAAATTTTGTCAAGGGTCTCTTATTCCATAAATTTTATTCCCAAATATCAAATTATTACTTTGGTCTGCCTGTAGTTACGGGCTTTGAATAGCTACAGTAAACAGAAGGAGCATACAAATTGTATGCCCGTTCCATTTACTCAAATGTTGTTGCAGTAGGAAGAATGCCAAAATAATTTTTTTTAATACCCTCCAGTGATTCCATTTCTTTTCCCTTCATTTGTGTGAACTCCTTGTCTTTTAAAATAGTTTGATTCTGTGTCCAACTTGACTGCTTCCTTTGTCACTTCCATGTAACTTTTATGGGGTTATGGTCTGCCCATATGTTTGTTTCTATATCTACCTGTTGAACATCTGTCCTTTTTTCTGATGTCATCCACGCCATGTCTATTCTTGACCATGATTGGTGTCTATTCGAGTAAAATGTATATTGGTTTGTCTTTGGGTTTATCTCTCTCCATATACCCTGTAGGCCTATTTCTCGTGTCATTTCAAAAAAGTGTCCTTCTTGTATTTTTTTTTTTTTTACTGCTTCTATAATCTACTTTGGGGTCCACAATTGCATTGAAGTCCCGTATCAAACATGGTCCATTTCAGTTATCTTTTTGGGAAGTCTTTTGTAGAACTCTTTCTGCTTATTGTGTGGCGTGTATATAGCAATCAAAAGGATCCCTTTCTGGTTTATTAGCACCTCCACCATTAATATTCTCCCTTCTTCATCTGCATATATTTGTTTGGCTTTTAATGATTCTCTAACATATAATGCCACCCTTCTTTTGTTTTGATGTGCTATTGCCAAATATAGTTTCCTGATTTTGGGGTATTCCAATAAATTGCCATGTTGTTTTTTAATATGCATTTCTTGAAGGCAGATTATATCCAATTTTAATCTTTGTAGTTTTGTGAAGATTTTTTTCCTTTTCATAGGGGAATTCATTTATGTTAATAGATAACATCTTTACTTCTTCTTCCATCTTTTCATTTGTATATGTGTCTTTTACCCTTCTAGTTGTTCTTATCTTTCTCCTCTTGGAAGTGGGTTTTCCATTAGAGTCTAATGGAATTGTTGCTTTAGTTTACCAGTAGTTACGGCTTTGAATAACTACAATAAATAGAACAAACATACAAATTGTATGCCAATTCCATTTACTTAAATGTTGTTGCCATGACACCATAAGTAGAGGGCCAAAATAATCTTTGACCTTTTTTTATTTTAACATTATTATTCATTAATTCTCCCCATCGCATCCCAACTTCTAAACTCATCTCATTTCAAGTCAGAAACTCAGGGATGAAATTTAAATGTTAAAAGATCAAAAACTTTAATAAAAAGATACATCTATGTAGTTCTAGCCAAATGCCAGGTTTTAAAACTTAGAAAAACTTATAAAGTCACTTAGGATATCTTTGTGGAAAAGGAACTGGATTTTTTGACATGACACTTGTGTATATATTTTTTGTAATGCAGTTCAATAACATCTTCATGGCTATGAGCAGATTACGGCAGGCGATGTGAAGATTAACCATATAAACATAAATTAAACTGTCCATCAGACTTTTAAATACTGCAGAATGAATTCTGATGGAGAGATATCAGTTACTTCTGAACTCCTATATCCCCAAGAATGGAATGTATTAAGAATTATTTATAAGGCTACTTCATGTCTGACATGACACTTGTGCATTTTTATTTTTATTTTGGAATACAGTTCAATAAAACCTACATGGCTATGAGCAAATTACAGCAGGCGATGTGAAGATTAAGCATATAAACATAAATTAAACTGTCCATCAGACCTTTAAAATGAATTTTGATGGAGAGATATCAATTACCTTGAACCTTGCTATTCTCAAGAACAGGGTTTATGAAGAAATTATTATTTATAAGGCAAGCCCATGTTTGAAATGGACACACTTCTGCGCATTTTTTATGTGTAATGCAGTCCAATAATAACTACAGCTACAGTATGAGGAGATGAGGGCAGGCAACATTATTAGCAGGATTTCTGCAGCGAAAAACAATGGAAAATATATATATATATAAAAGAAACATGCCAGAACTGGAGTCACCTGTATCTTTGGGTGGCATCCATTGTAACTTTTATTTATATTTATTTATGTATTTATGTGAGGGATCTCACGAAGAACGATGGTTCGTTGAGGGCGCTTCCAAGAAAAGGTCAGCACGCAAGGATGCAATCAAATTAAGTCTTTATTTAGAAGTAAAAGTAAAGTAAGGTCCCAGGCATGGAGGCATCCATGCCTGGATTGAGCCCATGGGTCAGTCCCATAGGAGACTAGAACAAGAGCAGGGAAAAAAAGGCAAAAGGGTAAAAGCAAAAGGGGGGGAGCAGCCCCTGTGCAGGGGTTCTTATAGGGGCCCCTGGCCCCTCCCTTACGAGGTGTGTGAGGGGGCCGGAGGGCCATTAACTTTCCCCAATGCGGCTGCAGGGGCTGGAGCCCCTTGACCCACCAGTGGGATCAAAGGTGTCTCTTTGTCCCCATCTGGTGGCCTTTGAAGAGACTGCCATGGCTGGCACAAAACACCTAACAATTCCCCTTCTTGCCAGCCAATGACAGGTGACGGTGAATATGTCTGAGAGGGCGAGCAGGTGTCCTGCCACCTCTCCTGTTCTTTAATGGGCAGCTCTTGGATTGCAGAGAAAGTCTTTGGGGTGACCACGATGCTGTTGACGGATGCGACGTGCCCAATGTCAATTCTCTTAGGTGGGACCCTCTTGTTGGACCGCTTTGACCTTCTGACCACCTGCCACTCACCACCCTTTTCCTCTGTGGGTTCTTTGCCGACTGGCTGTTCACGACCGGGATGTGGAGGCCCTCGGTCCCAGGCGTTGGGCATCATGGGCCTCTGGAGCATCGCTGGAGGCGAAGAGTCAGGTGAAGATGGCGTGTCTTCCCCCTCAGGACTGGACGGCTCACCCTCCTCATCTGGACCAGGTAGGCTGACCTCTTCATCCTGTTCCTCGCTCTCGTCGGTGGCAGGGTCTGTGGTTGTCTCAGGCAGTGTCATGGTTGGTGCAGCTTTGCTGGGCCGGTTAATGTATGGACCCAGATCATTTGAGTGGATCTGGGTCCAATTGGAGTCCTCTTCAAAGGAGGCAGATTGGGAAGTCACAGTCCTGCCTCCTTCTCTCAGGAATCGGTAGGCCTTGGAGCCAGGGGCATAGCCCAAGAACCTCAGTCTCTGGGAGACGGATCTCCCCTTCTTCCGCAGCTGCTTGGGGATGTGCACCCAAGCGTAGGAGCCAAACACATGCAAGTGTCCCAAATTTGGCTTCCTACCGTGGACCAGAAAATATGGGGTGTAGATGTAAGGTAAGCGTGCTGTTTACTTTGTAGTGGTTTGGTCAGGATGTCTGCGACTTGTTCGGCGGTCTCACAATGTACAGCCTTAATAAAACCAATGTTTGTTAATTCTCTGACATGCTTGTGCTTAATGTCTATATGTCTGGACCTTTGGCCTACTGCTTCTGCCATGGATATGTCTATGGCTGCCTTGTTGTCCTCATGTATTACTATCGGGTATGCCGGTTCAGTCCAGATGCTGCTAAGCAGGTCGTCAAACCATGTCAGATTGTTAGCTGCCTTGGAGAGACAGATATATTCTGCTTCGGCTGTGGAGGTGGCTACCAGGTTTTGTTTCCCGGTGTACCAGTGTACTGGGCAGCCGTTGATGAGGAACACGTAGCCGGATGTGCTCTTTCTGCTTTTTGTGTCGCCTGCCCAGTCAGCGTCGGCATAGGAGGTTAGGATGGGTTCTTTGGACATCTCTGGCTCTAGGTTCAGGTATGCATCCATGCTGAGCTTTAGATATCTGAGCACGGGTTTTACACCCTCCCAGTGGTATATCTTTGGGTCACTGACGTGTCTGGATAGGAGGTTGACTGCTAGGAGGATATCTGGTCTAGTCCAATTGGCTATATATAGTAGTGATCCAACAACAGATCTGTAGAGGGTATTGTCCTTGAAAGCCTCACTTTCTTCATTCATGTGTTTTAAAAAGTCAATGTGTATGGGTGTATCACATGGCTTGGCTTCCCTCATGTTGCATTTATTTAACAGGTCCAATATTTTCTCCTTTTAGGAGATCCTGAATCCCTTCTGAGTTCTGTCAATCTGGACACCCAGGTATTTGTTCACCTTCCCCAGAGTTTTTAGGGAGAAGTGTTTCCCCAACTGGTTGGCAAAATTGTCACAATTTTGTTTATGTTGACCACAGTACAAAATATCATCCACATAGATAAGTACGTATTCAATAGATGTGCCCTCCCTCTTGGTGAAAAAACATAGGTCGGCGGAGGTGGCTGTGAATCCCATGCCCTTCAGGATCTTTGCCAGGCACTCGTACCACCTCTTACCAGATTGTTTCAGACCATACAGACTTTTGTTCAATAACCACGTGTCCTCCCCTTATGTATTTCTCCCCGGGGGTGCCCTGACAAAGATCTCTTTGTCCAGCTCTGCGTGTAGGTAGGCTGTCTGCACATCAAATTGGTAGACTTCTAGTCCTAGGATAGTGGCTACTACCAGGGCGGTTTTTACACTCTCTGCTCTGACCGTGGGTGAATATGTGTCTGTGTAATCTTCCGGGTATTTTTGTGCAAATCCCTGTGCTACTAGCCTAGCTTTGTACAGTTTCTTGTTGTCCTCGAATTCTTTGATCTTGAAAACCCACTTAGTCCCGATGGCTACCTTGTTCTCTGGCATTCTGGATGGGGTATATACATTTAACTCTTTCAGGCTGTTCATCTCCTTATCTATGGCTTCCTCCCATCTGATCCTTTCCTCTCGTGGTAACCTAAGAATGTCCTCGTAGGAGTTGGGTGTCGTGGTGTCTGTGTGTATTGAAAGTATGTAATCGTCGAATCTTTTTGGCATTTTGTTTCTGTTGTGTCTTATGGGTCTGCTGGGTATTGTTTCTGTGTCGTGCATGTGTTGGGCTTCCTTCTCTGTGAGTGCATCTACCTTTACCTTTATGATGGGGTGGTTCTCCTTCCATTCTTTGGTAGTTACCCCTTGGTGTTTGGGTTTGTGTTTCTTGTGTGTCTCGTTCTCAGTTGTGTCTGGTTTATTGTTGGCTCTAACATTGTCATTAGCTTCCTGCCTAGGTAGCACCTCGTTGAGGTGTATTCTTGACCAGTTTGTGTTCTCGTGGAACACTGCTGATCTGGATACGACAAATCTGTTGTCCTTGTCGATGAACCTGTACCCCTTAGTTCCAGACTCGTATCCCATGAATCTTAGTTTCCTCGACACTTTCTCCCCTTTTCTCCTCAACTATCTGGGTATATGTACATCCGCAGTTACCCCAAATATGTGGAGGTGAGCTATCTGGGGCTTCCTATTATACATAATCTCATAGGGAGTTTTGTTCACTACGCTTGACCATATTCTGTTCAGTGTGTAATTTGAGTATGTGAGTGCCTCTGCCCAGAAGTGTCGCCCCAGTCCTGCATCTTCAAGGACGCATCTTACCATTGTTTGTAATACGCCGTTCCTGCGTTCTGATACTCCACTTTGAAATGGCGAAAACGGCAAAGAGGAAAAGTGTAGTATCCCGTGTTTCTTTGTCCAATTTGAGAAGTCCCTTGATAGGAACTCTGAACCTCATAATTTGTTTTATTTTTATGTTATGTTGAGTTTCTACCGTCTTGTAAAACTCCTTAAATCTTTGGAACACCTCACTTTTGTGATTGAGGGTGTACACAAATCCGTAACGGCTAAAGTCATTAACTATGGTTAGAAAAAAAACTCTTCTTGTATTCAATAGAGGGTTTCATGGGTCCCACTACATCCATGTGGACCAATTGAAATATTGAATTGGTGGTGTGAGAGGCCTTTTTGGGTCTTGGTTTGGCTTTGATCTTTGAGCATTTGCACACAGAACACTCCAAATAATTTTTACAGTTCTTTAATGGTAAGCCATTTGAACATTCATTCATTTTTTGTACCGTTGGAAAACTAGCGTGTCCTAATTTTCTATGCAGTAAGTGGGCGCACTCATCATGAATGGGTTTGCCAATGTGTGGTTTCTCTTTGTGTGTTGTGTCTGAGGTGGGTTTGCCTTCTGCAGTGTGTTCTCTTTTACCCCCTCTAGTTTCCGTGGGCGTACTTGTCTCTTTCTCTTTCTGAGTTAGTGTTTGTGTTTGTGTGTTTTTGGGGTACTAAGTATGTGAGTCCCCCTTCTATGATGATTTTTCCTATGTTGTTCTTTCCTTTAGTCATGTATGCCTTCCTTTCCTTGAAGGTTGTCTCAATGCCCAAGTCTCTACTGAGCTTGAGTGTGGCTCATATATTGTGGGGTATCTCAGGGATGAGTAGCACCCCCTCTATCTTCCCTATCCCATTTATGTGTGCGCTTCCTTCTCCTGTCACCAATACCTTGTTCTGATTGGCTACATTGATGTGATATTCCTTTGGCGTGAATGACTTCAGTATGTTTCTGTTATTGGTGGTGTGGTTGGTGGCCCCTGAATCAATGAGCCATGTGTTCTTTCCTTTTGTTTGGGTGTGTGAGTGTTGGTGGTCCCTAAGTTCATATAGTGACCCAGTCTGGCTATCCCTGGAGCTATCTCTATATCCTCTCCTATCTCTGGGGTTGGGTGAGTCCCTGCGCCTAAACCTGCTTTCTGGGGAGCGCCTGTCTAAGTGTCCTGATTTGCGGCCCTGTCTTTCCCTATGATAGCCGTAGTCTCTGTCCCTCTGGTTTCTGGGACAATCTCTCCTATAGTGATTCCTAGAGCCGCAGTTAAAGCATTCTGGTTTGTCTTGGTCCCTGGTCTGAAAGTCTACCCTTTTTATTGGTCTGTTCTCCCTACGGCTTGATGAACGGTCCCTTCTTAGGCTGTCCTCCGCTATCAGCCTGTTGGATAATGTCTCTAAAGAGAGGTGCTCTATGTTGAGACTATCCAGTTGCATAATAAAGTTTTCCCAACTGGGGTCTAGAGAGTTTATGATGATGCTTTTCATGCTATCATCAGATATGGTTTCCCCCCTTTGTATGAGTTCTGCCCTGGTGGTGTTTAGTTTAAGTATGTGCTCCCCCATGGGTGTCCCTGCCTTATGCCTGGCTGAGTAAAATTCCCTGGATATTTTGGTTGTTGTGGCTGCACTTTTGCTGTAGAACAAATTAAATATTTTTTGTAATATCTCTGCCACGGTTAAGTGGCGGCCAAGACTGGGGTAAATGCTGGGTGACAAGCTAGACATTAACAGATAGTAAGCCCTGTGGTATAAACAGTCAATCTCAAAAGTCCATGGTTTCTTTGGTGGGTCATCAAATAAATACAACATATTTTCCTTTAGAAAAACAATTTGGAGTTGATGGTTCTACTCCAAGAAGTTAGACCCATCTAATTTCAACTTGTGGTTGTCAGCAGTAAAAGTTATGTTACTTACAGTCTGGTGCTGTCTATGGTTCTTTATGTGAGGGAACTCGCAATATGCTGGGGGAATGCTTGTTGCTAGTCTGAATGGATTTATCTCTATGTTCTCTTTTCTTCCTATAGGTGGCGACTGGGCATGCGCGAGGCTCATTTCGTGCTGGAGGTCGTCGGGAGCGGAGCTCTCTGTTGCTGGCCTCAAGCCTAGGCCTAGGCTTGCTGCTGGGAGGTTGGGCTCGCCCCTGGCCCTCCCTGGATGGCAGAAGCTGTGGCTGGGCCTCTGGATCCCCGGTGAAGAACAGGAGCAGCTGGGGCGGCGAGCCGGTCATAGGTCGAGGACTCCTGGAGCTCGGCAGCACGGCAGCGGCGGCGGACATAAGTCGAGGACCTTCGGGGACCTTGGGTGCGGCAGCGGTGAAGGCTGCGGTAGCGGCAGACCCTGAGCGATGTTGGAGGACCTCCGGATGGGTCGGGAAGCCTGGTGGAGGCCGCGTAGCTGGTGAGTTGTTGTTTCTTCTCCTTATTCCATGGCCTATGGAAGTTGGTGCGGGTGCGAATCCTGCGGGTATTCAGTCCTGCAGGTGGTCAGATCTTGGCTGTAGTTTCTGGGGTGCGTTGTCCCGCTTGGTGTCTGCTGGGGTGTTGCAAGGGTTCCGGTGGCTACCCTGCTGCTCTTTTGGGGTTGTTGAGCTTCAGTTTGTTTCTTTCTGGTTGCTGGAGGCTTGAGTGCTGAGCTGAGTGCTGCAGCCAGGTTCTCGATCGCTTCATCTGCTTCGGGCTTGATGGGCGAGCCCCCGCAGGCTTGCGATCTTGCTTCAGTGTTATTTTCGGGTTCTTCCCCATTGAAGTTGGGGTTCTCATTGTTTCGCACCATTCGGTTTGAATCTCGGCTTCCCATTGGCTGTTGGCCATTCCAAGATGGTCGCTGAGAGCATGGCGCGGAAATGAAATCTTCCATGTCCGGAGCTTCAGCTTGGGGATACCTTCCCCTTGCCGGGCTGGTGATTTCTTTTCTTTGTTGCTGGATGCTCATCGCTGCTCTATTGCTTTCGAGTAGGCTATGGAATTTCGCAATGAACTCCTCTTTGCTGGCAGTTACTTCCATCATTTCCAGGATGGTGGATCGGAATTCTTAATTGCTCGGTGGCTCTGCCCTTTCGCAATAGTAGATTTCTTCTCTTGGCCCTTCATCTCTGGGTAGTGGACTCGGGTTGTAGTCTTCATCATCTTCGGTTGTGGCGATCCTCGCTGTGGCACCTTCAAGAGCCTGCAGTTCTTTCATCTGCTTGGTGTAGGCTCTGGTGACCATTCTTTTCTCTGCCTCTGTCTGGGTTCCTGATTCTGCCATCTCTGTGAGTTGTGGGTAAACCATTCTCTGCTACCAACTTGTGACTTATTTCTAGGATCTTACCCAATAACTCCAACACAGGATGTAGTGAATCAATTCTCTTTATTAATCAATGTTTCATTTACAGGTATGTGACTGGAAGTGACCTCTGGATGCCTGGACCATGTCTTAAGTACCTGGGAGGCGGAGCTGAGGTAAGGAGGGGTCAGGGGAGGATCTAGGTGGATGTGGTGGTAACCCTTATCATACCTGGGGATGGGCAATGGTGGGCATTTATACACAACAATTTCTGCAACTTTAAACTGGCATTTGAATTAAGTATTTTCTGCAGTTTTTAACAGCTTTAAAAAAAAAAAGAAGAGGTGAGAAGTGACTAAATAAGTGTTGCATGCAAATAAATCCAGTATAACACCCTGGGGTGTTGCAAATGAGAGACAAGGCGTAGCTGCTGGTGGAAAGGAAGTGATCCATTTACTCTCAAAAGCAAAGAGATTCACTCTTGGGATCAGCTGCGGAGGATAAAGTACTGTGCTGCCCACCCCAACACACACACACAGACGTACAGCAAGAGTTATACAGGTGTTTATTTACACACACACACAAACAGGTCCTCGGAAGGCATCCTGTTACACAGCTGTGGAATCCTTCAAGGAGTTAACTGCAATACAGACCTTATCAGTTCCTTGCGATAATTGCAAGGCCGTGAGCTTCCAGACAAAAGGCTGCAAATTAAGTTCTGGCAAACAGTCTTTGTGGCCCGAAACACAATGAGCCAAAATCTCCAGAACTACGAACGTTTGTCTCCTATGACCACCACTCCCCTTTCCTTCTATTTATTCCCCAGCCAGGGAGGGGGCCATTCATCATCCATGTATGTGCTTTGCTTCCTGAGTCAACTCCTTGTCTTCCATTGTTCTTCTCTCCTAACTGCTCTGCGCATATGTGCGTCTGGAACAGGCCCCAGCTGTTCTTCCTCCTCACTCATCACAGCCTCCAAAGGCAGCTGCCTCTCCGGTGACTGGGAAATGTTGGACGGCCCCGGCTCTATCTCTGTGTCCGATGCAGAGCATCCATCAGAGCCTTCCCCAGAAATGGCCCTAGTTCCTCCCCAACCTCCTCATTGTCCGAATCTGCCGCCAGCTCTGCTGGCAGCTGGCGGGCCACAACAATCTCCCTAGGGGATGGGACCGCTCTGGTGAGTTGGGTAGATGTGACCGGCAAGAGACAGTCCCTCAGATAACCTGGATATCCTTTGTGGCCGAAGGGAAGTAGGGCATGGCGTTTTGTTTTTGTTTTTTAATTTCCTTTATCAAGTTGGTGGGTTTCAGTTCTTTAGTTTGGCTGAGAGGCCTTTTAGTAATTTTTAATTGCATTGTATGTATTTCTCTGCAACATAATGTCATGCCCCTTTGGCTTAGGGATTAGCGGAAATGGTTTTATTCTCTTATAATAAGTTTTTTAAACCATTTTTATTACTTCATCCTGTAGCATACAAAGAAAACACAAAAGTAAATAGTAGGGAAGTTAGGGAAGGGAGAAGGGAAGAGAAAAGTGGGGGAAAGCAGGGGAAAAAAGAGGGGAAAAAGGCCTGGGCTTCTCACTCCCTTTGGTGCAGCAGAATAAGGCATTAACATAAAACCTCAACGTTTTACTTTTACACAATAGTATGAAGCAGCCGTTTCTGTAACAACAAATCTATCTAAATGGTAAAACCCAAAAACAAAGTTTTATTTTTTTTCCACCTCAAGCACAAAGTCCAGAAGTGGTTTCCGAGTAGAAATGAAAGTATTTGTATTTTTTCCCTCAATCAAAACAGCCAATTTAGCCCCCTCTGTTAACTCCATCAGTTTTTGCAGCCTTTCATCCGTGGTGGGAATCGAAGTATCCTTTCATTGTTGTGCACCAAGTATTCTTGCTGCTATCAAATATTATATAACAACTCTTACAATAAGTTGTGGTTGTTCCCATCAAGGGTTTAGTCTGCATTCCTTGCCTTTTGTCTTTGGGGGGCAGGGCTGGCTGCATGGCAGGCCATTTTCGGCCAGTTCCTTGCATTCAGCCACTGGTGTGGAATAGCTGCCTGCTCCTCGTTTTAATAATTCATCATAATAATTTTGCTCATCATCAAAAGTCTCTACCTCTGCAGCATTCACCTGCTGCCATCCCTGGCTAAGAGGGGCCACGTTTTCCTTCCAGTCTTCCCTAGTTTCGGAAGTCAAAGGTCATGTGGGGTTTTCAGGAGACCTCCCCTGTCAACCCCCAATAAGGGGAGGGGGTCTCTTCTCTTGCTTCCTCTCTGTTCTTCACTGGGGGACTTCAGGCAGGGTCTCCAAGCCCGGTTTGGTTTGGAAGGGGGTCTCATCCTGTAGCATCATTGATAGGTGTCTTCTGGAGACGCCAGGTGGGATTTGCATGGGCCCCCACCCCAAATCAGCCTCAGAGAAAGGGATTGGTTAAAAAGAGGAGTGAGTTCTCCTTGTGCCACAGCCATGTTTTCAACACACACTGTTACTAATTTCAAGGATCGGACCCAATAACAGACATAGACTCATCAATGGTCAAACAGATTACCTTTTATTTACATGGATCTTCTCTTTACCGGAATCATCAGCAAGAACATGTGGAGCAGCGTGGGGCAACCTTAAGTATGTGGGAGGCGGAGTCTGGGGTAAGGAGTGGTCTAGGGGGGAGGTAGGTGTAGGGTGTGTGTGTGTGTTAACCCTTGCAGTTCTGGATCATGTGTGTCAGCTTGTATGGGTAAGGCATTTACACGTGACACACACACACGAGCCATCCTGGTTCCTGGAAAGGGGTGTTCTGTCAACCTCATCGAAAGGGAGACCTCCCCCCACTTGGTAGATCATCCCCCTCCTCTCCTGACCCCCCACCCAATCCTGTCTTCAGAGGTTGCACCCAATTGGGCTGCCTTGGCTCCTTCTTTGGTTTTGCTTTGAACATCCCAGGGGGCCTGGTGACACCACTTGAGAAGTCTCCCCCAATTCTTAGAGGAACCCCCCCCCTCTTGCTCTCCTTTCTGGAGGTGTATTCCCAGTGTTTGGGGCCTCCAGGACTCAACGCCCCCAATGCTAAAGGAATTGGCAGGGGATGAAATAGTTTGCTGATGGCAGCTGTAGACGAAAAAAAGAAAAAAGGTTTGTGTTTTATTCGACACCCACGCAGGATGTGTCTATTCTTTCATCGTCCCAGCAGGAGGGCCGGGAATCTCGCCTGTCTTCCCACGCCATCTCCTCTCGGGGTGGGGAGGGGGTGGGGCTGGTTCAGAAGTCCATGAGCAATCAGTCCAGCTGCTGTAACGTGCAGGGGCATCTGTGAAGGGCAGGTAAAAGAAAAATCAAGACAATAATAGCGACCATAATGTCTGTACAGGCAGTCCTCATTTAGTGACCGTCTTCTTTTTTTAATGATGATTCACGGTGGCAATGGTAATGAAAAAGTAATTTTGCAGCCCCCCACCTCACAGGGATGACCTTCACAAGCTAAGCCAAGTAACAGTCCAACTGTAGTGCAATCACTTAGCGACTGATTCACTTAATTCCCGAGTTGCAGTTCCCAATTGTGGCTACTAAATGAGGACTGCCTTTAAAAGCAAATGGAGTGGGGGTGGGTCAGAGAGCGTGTGGGAGGGAGCTTCATAGCTGAGGATGGACTTAAACCTGGGTGTCTCCAATTCTTTTTTATTGTTTATTTAATGTATGATGACTCCTACTCAGGAGGTTGAGCGTTCAAGCCTAGGCAGCAACAGATATTTCTCTATCAGGGCGCAAAGAGAAAATATCTGCTGCTAACTCTGCATAGGCAACAGGAAGGGAATCTGGCCAGTAAACGCTTAGTTCCATCCAGTTGTCCCGCCTCCACCCTGAATCAAGGGATTACAGAGTTGTAAAAAGAAAAAAAAAGAGTATGATGACAACATGACAAAGAGAAGTAAACTTATACACAGAATCCAGGTAATTATATACCAAACTTCTACGGTAGACAAAGATCAGCAGAAATGGGCCAACCCAACATTTCCTTCTTTGATTGGCATGGTAGGCTCAAGTCTTCAGTGGAACCTTTTTCACAATACCTGTTACG